CCAGGTTCTTCGACAGCAGTGGTTCAAAGTGAAGCACTACCTCAGACTGCGATGTTCTGGAGTACGTCTGACTCCATCATACCATCAGTTCCTCTAAAAATATTCTGACACCTCTTTCCGGAAAACAGTGAAGTCACACGGATGAATAGGCCTAGCCTTCACCGCACTAAAAAGTAAAGTCAACGGAACCTATATGGCCTATTGCCTTTTTCGTGATTTTACTGATCTCAATGAGGCCACCTTGGTCACCCACGCTAAAGTTCTGCGGATGTATCGGTCAGACCAAACTCCATGCCTGACACTGTCTTCAAGATGGACAGATATATAGCAAGCAAATACGTAACCAACATATCGAGTCGTTCAAAAACCGTTCATCGACTTCTCCGAATTAGGAAAACTAAAAGATAACCGATCAAAAAATATTCGGTTGCAAGAAGCAGACAATCGGAGACACCTTCCTTTTGAAAACAAGATATGCGGAACAAACTGGCAAAAGCAGGGGCTCAAAGACTTTGGTAAAAGATATGGAAGAAACATCAGCTCGGTTATGATTTAAACGTTCATAACGAAACTGATCATTAGACATACTTTCAGCGAAATCAACTTGGTCGTCGTCAAGTGGTACAGCAAACATTTTGTTTCCTTCAGGGGCAGCATCACGCAGTTGTCAATCTAGCGTACAAGCATCAGCGAACATGTTGCGAACTATGCTTAAGGGCATACCTCATTCTGTTCCATTGGTCCTTTCATGCGCACAGCATTGAAGACGCGTACGGCGTCGCTGCCCGCTTCTTGATACCTGCAATGTTCGATTAAATGGTCATATCCGCTATACTACCTTACGCCTGCATACGTCTCGACAATGTAAGCCTCGATCTCACCTTCGCACAGACGGTCAACGATCCGATCCATATCTAAAACGCATCGGTCAACAAGATATCCGCATCGTTTAACCTGCATTAATTGCCAATGTATCGCAGTGTCTCTGTAGCGACTGCAACGGTGCAAAATGCTAAGCGTTGCACTATTCACGGTCACAATTATGCGCAAAGGGTTTATTTGCTGCGGTTCCCAAACAGAAAACAATGATGTAAATACTGAATTGCACAGGTCATGCACTACCTCTTTAAGGAAGCAGATTGTTGAACAACAACATCTTGGCGAAATGCCAAGTTGAAAACAGCTAGCCAGTAAAGAAGCATGACCTAATCTTGATCTTATGTCATAGGGAAGAGTAGCGAACAGTTTCCTGCTAGACTTAATCGAAGCAGGTAAGTTTCTCTATTAACAACAAAAGCAGAGAAGAACCGAAAAAACCGCATTTCAAGGTCAAGTCCGTGAAAGTGTTACTAGAGGACTGGTGAAGATACTCAGTCCCTTCTAGATCAAAATGAGAGCGCAAGGAAACACGCGGATTTACAACATGTACCCTTGATACGCCCGCTGCGCAGATTCGCTTATGTAGGTTGTGAGTTGTCACCACACTGAGTTACTCACATTAGCAGAAACTCAAAACATCCGCCACATTCTCAGCGGTTCAGCGTTTTCATAATAAGGTAGCAGTTACAGCATCGTAGAAAATTTATCCGTGAACGCACAAATGTCTGTAACTTTAGCATCCGTATTTTATGCCAGTCTCGAGTCTCGCCGATGATGTTTGCTTTGTTTTAGTCCCATATGAAAGTGTCGACGGCTAACGACAATAGTTCAGAACAAGTGGTTCAGGTCTATTACTGGTTCATAATCGGAGTCTGACTCGATATATGACGAAGTAGATGCATTGAACGGCCTGAATATTGATCATTCCATTCTCATTCTGTTTGAAACGGTCACTTGCCGCCATGAAATTGTACTTCAGCGAGCAATCGTTCTGTTCAGTGAAAATCGATGATCAAAATGACGCGGGCAAAGCACTGCATTGTTTCATTTTCTGTCAAGAGACGTAGTTACAACACCGTTCGAGAAGCCACCCGGGCACTTTCGAGCTGGCATCGGTACAGAGGAGCTTCAATGGTCAGCTGTGCTTTCTGACTTTCAAGATCTTTCTGCATGACTACCCTTAATGATCACCTGCCATTGTTACGTGACTATATAATGACAGCGCTATCTTGCCTCGATATCAGTGCCCAACAGAACAATCCGTTAGGTAACAAGAACTAGTTTTCAGTAATACCAGTGAAAATTACGAATATCGTCCTTCTCTTAGTCATAGCACTCCACGCTTTTAGACGCCATGTTTCACCGTAACGTTTAGCCGCATAGAAGCTATGCAGGCTATTATGACTCGTAATGCTAGGACAACCGATTATCACAACACTATGTGTATATAGAGAGTAGAAAATATTCCTCAAAAATCTCAGCAAAAGTCTTTCGCTTGGTTTCTTCTGCAATATGATGGGCAGTTACCAACCCTCCGTCATTTGTTTTAATTTTCACCCTTTCGCAGTACTTCACGAAGCTATGAAACAAAGAAAACTTACTGACTGTGAACATTCCGCCGGCCGTTAACCCAGCACTGGAAATGAAACGCACCTTAAAACATTTGTTAAATTAAAGTCAGTATCAAACGACCAGTACGCTTATCCGCGTACACAGTTCTAACGCTATAAGCAACATTACAACAGCAACCTCTTGCTCTCAGGGTCCTTTTAGTTAGCCATGACTCAGTCGAATACCCTCCACGTTTGTATGAGCACAGGGACAGGACCATAATGACATGTTACCAGGGTAATCATATGCACTGAAACATTACACCTAAGAAAATAACAGAAATGACATTAATAACTCCATCTTGCGAAGGTGATCCTGCATTAACGTAACTAATCAGTTTCCAACCATCTACTAATGCACGCCAAAGTCAATTAATCGTATATCCGGCAACCGCTTTTCAAAGAACAAATCGTTCACCAAACGCTGCAGCTAGCCGCAGACCAACGAAACTAAATTTATTAATTTTACTGCTACCATAACTTTATTTTTCAAAAGGGTCAACGATTCATGTCGCGCATCGGGGCGACGGTGCAAGGGCGACGTAAATGACGCCATACGGAACATATACCTAGCTATTCACTGACATCAATCTGCTGCCCATTTCTCGGCTGGTCACGACGGAGAGTAAAGAGGTGAACTCACTGTTCAAGTAAACTAGCGTTTAATGAGAAAATATTAATCTACGTCTGCAATTCGAACCCATACCTTTACTATAAAACGTGCGCATTTACACCTGTTGCATCACCGCTGAAAAACAAACAAACTGTTCATCTAAATTAATTTTAAGAGTCACACAAAAATATACCTTTTAAATATCGACCAAAAGCATTATACTGTATGTATGAAAAAAAAGCATCAGCATAAACGTCATTTACATAACAGTGAAAGTGAAAACAATAGCGAGTGAGCAAGAAGGAACTGTTAGCCAGGGATGTGAAGGGTAATACGGGCTTATTTCCAACAACTGAACTCTATTTCCCGATCGATGACGTATCAAATGATAAATGATATCAGGGATTTACAAAATGTTTGCTCTGCATGGAATTGACCTGAAGTGGTTTCTCGTAACGACCACCGTAACGAAATGAAGCAAATAATTCATGCAGGGTGTTCAAGGTTGACAAGAATCTTTACCCAGGTTTAGCAGTTCCTGTTCATGCCAAAGGCGGTTGTTTATTCTACAAGAATTCGATCTTCGAAGTCTGATTCATTCTGGCATAAAAAAAATATGAGCAAGCGCATGATGGGCTACTGGAGGCGTTGAACTACACAGAGGCCGCAGATAGCAGTAATGGCACTTACAATGCTGTGCGAAATGGTTAGGCAATTTTCAATTCAGTTCAAAATGTCGACATGTTTTACAAAGGAATACAGATTCGTGAGTTTTAGTGCCACTTAACCGTCTTGTATATTCTACTTGAGGCTCCTCTTCAATATTATATTGAAGGATCTCACTTCGCTGACCTCTGTGAACATCAGATCTGCATAAATGACGCAGAAATTCTGACAGATCTGGCGGATACTACATAGATCTTATGGAGTAGAAAACGTAAAAGACAGATCTCTTGACGCTGATGACAAGTATTGCACTGCTGAGCCATTCGCAAACGCAAACTTCAACGGCAAAGCGATGATAATCAAGGTCACAGACAGCCGTCAAAATCATCAGATCGACCGCGTATTTCATATTTTCCGTGTCGTCATTTACTCTGCAACTGCTTGAGTAGAGTGCAAAGAGTACTGGCGAAAGGACATCTAGTTTGGAGTGTCAGAAATTTAATTCTTAATACCCGATGCAAAAAACTGCTGCAGGTTACTGATTACAAAAGGCGAATAATCTGATAGCTGATAAATGGCGAAGCAAATAACAGATCAGGACGTTGCAGGTTCTGCAACGTCAACAAACCTGAAGCTTGTAA